TAGCTAATATTTCTATAGTAGACTTATATAATTTCCTGCGCTTTTTTCTCTATATTTAAGTTATTTAGCATAGAGTTAATTATTAATTTTAATAATCTTACTAGTAAATTTATTAAAAGAGCTAGGTTAGTCTTCTTTTGCAACTTTATTCTTTATGTCTTTATATAGAGCATTATAAAGTAGCTTTATTATACTATTATTATTCTAGTTAAGAGATACTAAAATATATTAAAATTCTCTAATAAAGTGTTAAGCAGATTCTATCTATCTAAAAGTTTTAATTTTATATATTACTATCTAGACCTTATTAAAGTCTCTAAAGGCTATCTTAAGTTTCTTTTTAAAATTTATATAGCAGTTAAAAATCTAAGTAGTTTTATCCTTAGATTCTTAAGTAGATTATTATTAAGGTAGTCCCTAAGAGTTAGCTCCTACTATTCTATAGCTTTTCTAGTAAGAAGATTTCTAATGTAAAGTATCTTTACTATAGAGTTAGCAATAGTAGTATTAACTTAGAGGTAAGCTTTTGCCTAGGTAAAAAAGGTATATATATTTCCCTTAATTCTATTAAATAGTTTAGGTTTAGGAAATTTAGGGAGAGTAAGTGCTTCTTTCTATTTAAATTATATAGCTTAAATCTATATAGTAAGATTTATAATTTGTTATTCTATCTATATAATAGCTTAGGCAGAGTTAGTAGTATTTCTGCTTGCTATTAATATTATAAAGATTACTACTTATAGTTTAAGGTAACTTACTAAATAGAATTAATTAAAATATAATAGTAGCTTAAGTTCTAAGATATAGTAAGTCTATTTCTTAAAAAGTAAGTTAAGTTAAACGCTATAAAGTAGCTATTAAGTAGTATTACAATAAAGCTATTAAGAGTATAACTCTTAATAGTAAAACTATTACTTAGATTAATTAATTAATAGAGAACTAGACTATTTACTATAGTAGGATACCTTCTTCTTAAGTACTTATCTATCTCTTTATTATAGACTAAATTAACTAGCTTATTTATTAATCTCTTTAAGCCTTAATTAAATAGCTTAAGGTTTAGTTAGTTTAATTCTTCTTAGTTAATATATTTAAATATTAACTTCTTTAATTACTTTCTAGGTTATATAGCTAGTTACGTGCCTCTGCCTTCTTCTTGTGCCTACAGGTTGTGCCTGTCCTTACTAGTGCAGTCTCGTCCTGTGTCTCGTGCAGTAACGTTTGTAATAAGTATATAGTTAAAGATATATATATAATCACTAAGCTTTAACTACCTTCACGTCGCTAGATGTCCACGTCAACAGAGCTAAAGGGTATTTGTCACTTGTCCATTTATTCGTCGCTCCCTACCTCTCTTTTCTTAATTTCCCTCTTTTCTCTTCTTAATTTACTCTTTATTCTGTCTTTTTCTTCTAGTTATTTACTATAAAATATTATATAACTAGCAGTAAAAATATTACTTTAAGGCATTATATTATATATATAATAAGATTTAAAGTTAATATCTAAATACTTAATTTTGCCTTTACTATAGCACTTTTTAAGTAGTTTTAATTAAAATTAATTTAGAACTAGATTTATAGTAGTCTTATCTCTTAGTTTAGTTTTAATTTATTAAGATAAATAAAAGCTTAATAATATTCTTACTATATTTTATTTATATAAATAAAATAAAATTATATAAGTAACTTTAAAAAGAACTTTTAAGCTAGAGCTAATAAAGTATTATAAGCAACTTACTTAAGTATATAAAAAAACTCTTAGTATAATTTAGCTAAGCTACTTATTTAGCTTATTTTACTACTATTAGTTAGTACTTTTTAAGAGAGCTTTTTTATTTCTAAAAAAATAAATAAGCTAGATAGAGATATAAATTAATTACAAACTAATTTAAGACTAGCTTTTATATTTATACTAACTAGTTCTACTAAGCTTGATTAAACTTTAGCTACTTTTATAGTTAGATATTAATAATAAACTTTTATATAAAAAGCAATAAATAAATAAGTATATTTAACTAAGCTTTATAGTATAATTTAATAATAATATCTCTTTTAAGCTTAAATAAATATAGTTTAAGTAGGCTAAATTATTTTAACTTCTGCCTTAAATATATACTATATTATATATAGTCTTTAACTTATTTTATAAGAATAATATACATAAATAGAATATTAAAGATAGCTATATATTAGTTTAAATATATTTCTATTTTCTATATTTACAATAAGAGGATATAAATAAGACTTAATTTAATCTACTATAATTGCTAACTTTAAGTATCTTTAATTTACTCTTAACTATAATACTCTCTCTAGATATAAAGTTATTAGCTTTACTAATTTACTTAATTAAGTAGAGTAGTTTAATAAGCT